GGACCCCTCAACTACTCCAAGTTCAATGTAGAGAACCGCTCTCCACCCACTGAGAGGGTCTACGGACCTCTCAGCTGCTTCTGTAGAGTGCTGATGTAGGCAGAAACTTCCCAGGAGGCTCCCTGTAGTGGGGAATCACCTTCCTCCTGAATCCAGTACGATGCAGAGTCATAGGACGAGGCACAGTTCACTTGCAGGTCCTGGCAGGTCGCTACTCAGCGCCTCCCCTCTCGGAGGTCGCTACTTGGGACCCCCGCCCACCGGCAGTACACGGCACGGGCGGATTCCCACAGCTTCCCCCCGTCACGTCACTCGGGGAGGTCCAATCATGCCTGCATCGACCCCCACAACCCCGGGTGCTGCCTCCACCCGTTCACTCCGCTCACTGCGCCCCTCCATGGGCCTGGCACCCGCCGGCTTGCATCCCCCGTCGCCGATTCACCGCGCGGGTCCGCGGATCACAACCCCCGCCGCCGGGCCCGGATGCCCCTCGCAAGCGGCGTCCTCTGATGCCCCTTTCCGGTGGTCAATTCCCGCGGAATGCACCCCCCCGTGGTCGGGCTCGGCGCGCGGAATCCCAAGCCAACGCCCCCCGCCATCGGGCTAGGCGCGAGAAGCAGTAGAGTACGCCCCCCTCCTTAGGGCCAGGCATTCGGTCTGGCTCGGATTCCCCCGCCGATTTAGGCGGCGCCGCGAGGCGCCCACCTGGCCGGCCTCTCTCCTTGGATCTCTCGTGAATGGGGGGCCCTCCCACTGTCGGGCCAGGTCCCCTCGGCTCTCATGCGCCACGTGGCGCGCTTCCGTCCTCCGCGTCCGCCAGCTCCAAAACCACTGGCGTGGTTTTCGGTTCGATCCGCGGGCGATGTGCCCGCCGCGGCGCTCAATCCGGCCGGAATGGCCTCCTCCACCAAATGACGGCGGGCGGTCCGGGGCGCTCGTTCCTTCGGGGTGCGTAGTGTGGGCCCAGTCCTGCGATTCGCCGGGCGCGGGGTGGCAGTGCGCGCAGTGGGTGCGCGACGCCGGTGCGGCGTGCAGGTGCAGCCGCACGGAGGCAAGTGGTCAGCAAGAGTTACAACTGGTCGGGCATTGGGGCCACCCTTTGGCGTGCCCCGCATCACGTGACAATGCGGACAGCATCACCGTATCGATAATATCTCATCCCCCAGTACGGTTGCGGAGGCGCCCTTAAGTACTAAAACTTCTAATGGCTATATCTCCACTACCGCTAACCCAAATGGCCTGATCCAAGAACCTATGGGTTCTTAGTAAGCTCTACTAGGAGATGAGATTGTTCTTTAATGTTTATTGTACATTCCAGATACCCATAATCAAAGAAACACACTACCCCCTGTGCTTTACACCACAGGCAGGGCGTCCCCCACACCAAGGGGCCAACAGTAGGGCGTCCCCCACATTAGGCCAGTGTGGTAACATCACCTTAGCAATGGGTGCCCCACTCGGCGCAACAACACTGCGCAATTCACCCGAAGGTGGCTGCGCGCGCCCGAGTCTCTTTTGTATCAGGTTGAATACCTCAGGTATTCAACCTTCACCTACTGTATCCCTTTGGTGTCACACCCCCGGGTTGCATACTCCTCAAGGGCGTGTCAACTCTCTCTACCTTGTAATCTTCTCGGCTTCCAAACTGCCCCAACTGCTAGAATCCCACCAGCGAATTATGCCAGTAGTCTTAAACACCGCACCTTGGGCCCGGTACTTTACACCACTTCTGGTGCCCAATTTCCAGGTGGGCACCAGTGAAGGTGGCCAACCTCCTACATTGTCACATGGCCTCCAACTCCCCCCACTTGCACAGCAAGTCTATACTTTGTAGACACTTGTAGACATGCAATACATTGCACACACACACCAGTACTTTGCCTCCTTCACCAACTCGTAATACTTTGCCTTTTAAGCCCTGTACTTTACCAACACACCGCCCACATAGTACTTTGGGCTTTGCACATGGGTGGCGCCCCCCCTTGCCAAATTCAGCTTCCCTACAGCCTATGGGGGTTCCCTGACATGTCCTGTCACGCGCACGTGGTGTGCCCGGCAACGGTACCGTGTTCTAGCTGCCAGGTGTGCCTCGCCGCAGGTCCGACTCACCGCTGTTGCTGCTCCATCGAGTGGCAACGCCTGCACATGGTGCCTGCGCTCGCTTGCCCCTGGCTCCGTCCGGGGTCTCGATCTTGCGCTTCGATCGGCGCAGCACCACCCAGAATGGCGGTGCCCTGCTTCCTCCCCACACGGCCGGGCCGGGCCTTGCAAATCCGCATGGCATGACGGCATCGTGCTGCAGCGTACCGGTCCGTTGCTCAGCTCCCGCGTTGTTGCACGCTGGGTCCTCCTCCGCGCACTGTGTTCTTGGCCTGCCGCTATGTCCATCTCGCTTTGCCTCCTTGGCGCCACATCCCCAGCATTGCGGCCACTTGAATGCCTCTTCCTCGCTGCATCGCCACCGTCCAGCGCCTCGCCATGGCGTCCACCATTCTCCATCGGCCTCCTTCGCTCACTGCATCCAGAGCTTGCCGACGGCTCCACGCCATGCTATGACTTTGCACCTCACTTCCCCGCAATGCGGCCACGGGAATGCTGCTGCATTTTGGCGCAATCCACTGCCTTTGCGTCCATCCTAAACGCCTCCGCCGGTGCTCCCGTGTTCTCAACCAGTCAGGGCCTCTGATTCCCCGCGCATCCACGGCCAGCCAAGGCCGCCATCATATACCATTTTCTTGATGCCACATCCCCAGCACTACGGACTTGGGAATGCCGTTGCATTCTGGCATTGCGCTCCGCCATTGCACCCGCCAATGCGCCCCCTCCGGCGCTTCCTCGTTCTCAACTTGGCGGGGCCTCCAATTCCACGTGCTTCCATGGCCTGCCAATGGCGTCATCGGGCGCTGCATCCTTGGCACCGTATCCCCAACATTGCGGCCGGTGCAGTGCCGCTTCAGCGCTGATTCAGCACCGCATTCTCTCCTGCATTGTTCCGCGCCGCTTCCTCCTCCAATGGCAATCCTCCAGCGCTTTCAAACCTCCATCTCCATATATTCAACTTGTTGGCGTTTCCATGGCATTGGGTCTTCTTTCGCCTCGGTCGCTGCTTCTATGCAACTCGATCTGCTCCCGACTTTGGCACCGTTTCTCATCGCTATGCCCCTCGGTCGTGGCTTCACCCAATGCCACCACTCCCGGCGTCAATCGCCGGCGGTCTTCCTCACGGCTCCGCGCTCCAAAACCACTTATTGTGGGGCACTTTTGGATGGCCTCCACTGGTCCCCTTTGTTGCGCGCATCCCACTTCATCTGCATGCACCCGGTTGGGCCGATGGCCCCTCCGCCGAACCCGGCGAGCGCAATCGGGGTGCTCGCTCATACTATGCGCGGTGGGCCCTCTTGCACTCTGGGATCGGGTGGTCCTGCCGTTCGAAGACGGCGGGGTGCAAAGCAGCTGGCTCCCCGGGCGGCGAGGCCCGTGCGGAGTGAGGCAGTGAGCCAAAACAGGTAACAGAACGGGGGGCAACGCACCCCCGTGTACGTACTGATGGTCGGCCACATTCCGGTCTGACCACCCATCACATAGACACCACAGAATGTACATTAGCATATCACGGTTGTATCGCCCGGCATACCCCCGTATTGACCCACTATCGATACATCGCAGCCCAGTCTACCCCAACGGCCTGTCCCTTAAGTATAGCGATTTCCCTAAGCCACATACTACCCATACTTGGGGGATTTAGAGAAAGAAAGAGCCTACGAGTATCTAGATATTATAAAGAATCCAAATAATGGGTCTAATCCCATAGGTGACTAAACAACCTAGACAAATGGCCATAATTCTCTCGACCCCCATGTGTTTCCACAACAAGTTGCATGTTGGGAAGCAGGGACAAAAGCAAAGTTTTATTGCATTGCGATATCATAATAGACTAAAGTAACCTAAACGATTGTCATGTAGGCACAAGAGTGGAAGAGAAAATTGCATCTCATCTTCTGAATCACCTTGAAAACTTTGGCGTAGATTGGCGTGCTTGGTGTTTCTGCTACTCAATCTTTAGGAAGCGAACCCCGCAATGAAATCCTGAGGAAAGATCCTTAAGCATATTGAATGCAATGACAGAAATCGCTTGTATTAATGGATTGGCTTGATGTGTTTGTACTATTGTTGAAGCCTTAAAGGTTGGCAAGAGAAAATGCTGGAAATGTGGACATTCTTGTAGATCCATTGCAAAGTTACATAACATCTGGTGTAGCCTCCATTGAATGGAAAGAATGCAATAATACCACTATGCCACAATCGAGTATTGGCTGAAAATTGTTGATATCCAGGTTTGAATATGGTTCTATGTTCCTGAGAGTTGGGAAGATCCACCATTCGATTCTAGTATCTTATTTCACTTGTCTCCATATTAAAGTTCTATGGGAAGTGTCCCCATCTCAGCATTAGGGAAGGCAAAGAACTTGGAGTAAGAACAAAATCTAAACCTTCTCCAACTAGTTCCGTTGAGTATTTGTGAGAAAAAGATCCCAAATAGGAAAGGTGTATACAATTGACCCCAGTAGTATGTAAATGTGCGATCCTTGAGCGAGGGGCGTGTTCTTTGTCATAATCACTAAACAGGTCGGCTATGATGCGTGTGAGCCAGCTGCACAACCACCTTCAACGCCATTCTGCCTTGCTGACGGACTCGTTTTGGATGTCACCAAAAATGTCCCTACCAAGGCAGGCATTGTGGCACATGGCCAGGTTGTCCCACACGTGATATCTGCCACCTACTACCCCCTCGCACCCTCTGGCACACTTGCCTCCCTCGCCTGCTCAGGTCTTCAGACATGGCCCTCGACGCTCGGTCCAGGTCCGCGGGTGTGGAACTCCAACGTCCGCAGTCCTGCCTGTCATCCGTTCTGAACTGGCGCTCGATCCCATCCAACCCTTTCGATGCCCGCCGCGCATCGCGTCACCCTGGGATGCGATGGGTTTGCTTGCGACCCGGGATGGCACCAGTATCCGCGCGTCCGTGTGCGTCGCGGGCGGCTCTCGCTGATCCAGCTGCAGACGAGACGTCAGCAGCGCAGTGCCCACGTGGCCCTTCTTGGGAGGTGCACAAGTTCGGCGGTACGTGCCTGGCCAACCCGGAGCGCATCAGGGAAGCGATGCGAGTGGTTGTGGAGGATCCCGCAGAAAACAAGGTGGTGGTGGTGAGCGCGATGGGCTCCACGCCGGAGTCTCCCGTCAAGGTAACAGACCTGATGTTGTCGATGATCGGGAAGGCGGCAGCACAGGACATTGGCTTTATGACGGACCTGACAGCGCTGCAAGAGAAGCACGTGGCCTGCGCGAAGGAACTTCTGGGAGAGGGGCCGGAGCTAAACCAGTTCCTTGGGCGGCTCATGGACGATGTGGGGAATCTGAAGTCGATGCTGGAAGCCATTTCGATAGGTGTGTCTCGAGGGGTTGCAGTCCATGCACTTCAGTACATTCACGCCTTGCGGGTAACGGGGCAACTTCGGGAAATCACGAGCGCCGCAATGCGACGGGCGCACTGCTGGTACATGAAAGCCAAAAAGCCAGGTCAACAGAACTGAAAGCCAGAATTTCCTTTGTCAAACCGATGAAAAGATGCCCATACTGATGATAGATTTGTGTGTGGGAGGCCTTCCTGAATCATCAATCAAAACACTGTGAAACACTGTCCTGACACCTCAAATGGTAAGTGGCTGTGTGTGCTGCATTGTCTTGAATATTTGGAAGTCTTGAAGCCATTAGCCCTGACTTTGGCAAAGTAGATTGCTTCCAAACTGGAAGTGTACCAAGTGTATTCTGTTGCTAGAACATCTTAATGGCAGAATCCCTCGTAGGTAATGCCACATGTCCCCTATTTCAGTTTTGAGGCGTCATTGTACATTGGAGGTAGCGTTCGTGCCCAATGTTTTCTGGTATTGGGCACATTTAGGCTGATTTCAATTGAAAATAGCTCTTGTCATAGGTTTGGATGCTGTGAAACTGACAAATACACACAAGGTATGCCTGCTATACTATGCTAGTTATATGACGGCGTTCCTTGCATGCCTTGTTGTTGCTTTCGCATTAAAAATATACCCCAAGCATTGGTACCAATTCCGGCCAATGATACTGCACTGCTTGACATGTTGACTGTTCCAGCAAGTGAGTTCTAATATGTATTTCATAAGTTGGCCTTGCCTCTTTTTGGGTGTTGTGGGGCACTGTTTGCTTTCATGGATGTTTGTTTTGTGGTGTGTTGTTCCAACACTCAACAACTGCCAATACTGAACTTCACAGTCGTTTGTGCAAAAATTGGTTCAATGATTGTGTGATGAGCTAAGATCTGATTTCACTCGCATAGTGAACTTTTTTCAGCTTTTCAGCGCTTTTATGAGTGTGAAGGAAGCAAATTTCTTCACAGTTACAGGTGGACTTAATTTTGGATTGGGGCTTTAGGGAGCTCACATTTTGGCCCTCTGCATGTGGAGATATGCCAACATTATTGTGAAGGTGCAAGGGCAGTACTTTGTGATTATTGACAAATGAATTGAATGGATGTGCATACATTGTTCAACAATCTAAAGCATGCCACTGGTTGATCGCAAAAGGGAAAAAGGGAAGTGGTAAAATCCTCAGAATGGTGAAAGATATGCCATATGACTGTCCCCTGGCTTGAAAGATATCCTTAAAACGATCTATTGCCTTCCATGATACCCAAGTGCCGTTGATGCCACCCCCTCTGTGCCCCAGTCTGTATGGCCTCTCTTGCCATGGCATCAACTGTGGGAAGGCCTGAAGCAATTCTTAGTTTGCACCCAAGCCCCTCGTTCTTCTTGTGTCTTGAACCAGGGGATATTGTTTTTTGGATGTAGAGGTTAAACCTAGTCCGATTTCAGGTTCAATCCACACTCAGTGGAGTGTCAACCCAATCCAAATTAAGGTTCCACCTACTCCCACTTGTGGTTTGACCCTGCGAACAAGTAAAGAAAAACCGAAGCCCTAAGCACTCTAAAATGTACCAGAAAAAGAACTTCATGGCCATCTTCTGAAATGAAGGGAGTCAGCATTTGTGCTTCATATCACTGGACTAGGTTGATCCTCAACGTGGACTAGGTCAAACTTCCATACAGCTGGACTGGGTTGAGCCTCAATTTGGAATAGGTTTTCCTCCCACTGAGAGTGGACTAGGTTCAATCCCTGTGTTGTGGCTATGTGAGGAAGTGATGTGCTGTGATGTAGTGCTGCTTAGCCCCGTACAGGGAACCTGAACTGTTCTCTAAGGATTTGGTTGAACTTTTAAACGTGGGGGGGTGAACAACATTCTCAAATGAACGATGCATATGCAATTATGCCCATCGTCAGCTTTCCAGATGCAAGAGTGGTGTTTGTAATGTGTTTAAAGCTGTTGCTAACTGTGGTGCCTTTGTGCTCGAACTGTGGCAGCCGCTCTTGCAACCGAAGCTTTCTCTGACTTTGTGGTGGGTCATGGTGAGCTGTGGAGTGCCCTACTTGGCACTGCAGCCTGCAGGCAAATGGGATGTGAAGCAGCCTTCATGGATGCCCGGGACATCCTTGTCGTGACCCCTACACCAGACAGAGTATCCGTTGATGTCAACTACGAAGCATCCAACAGGAACCTTGACAAGTGGTACTCCAAGATTGGTACAAGCCCTGCTGTCATCGTTGCCACAGGGTTCATTGCAAGGAGCACCGCTGGTCAGATAACCACCCTACGAAGAAATGGGAGTGACTACTCAGCCACAATATTAGGGGCCCTGTTTAGGAGCTCACAGATCACCATATGGACAGATGTGGATGGTGTGTATAGTGCCGATCCACGAAAAGTGTCGGAGGCGTTTTGTTTGGGTGGCCTGTCCTATCATGAGGCCTGGGAGCTGTCATATTTTGGAGCCAACGTGCTGCACCCACGGACAACACTTCCAGCCATGAAGTACAGCATCCCAATTACCATCCGGAACTTTTTTAACTTTCAGGCGCCAGGCACTAAAATTGGGTTCCTTGCAGAAGACAGCAATGAGTGCAGTGTCAAGGCGTTCTCAACGATTGATGACATGAATTTGATCAGTGTGGAGGTAAGGTGGTGAATTGAAGTTACAGTTGTCGATTTAAGAAAACAGGGCAGAGTTGCATTGTCATAAAATGGGGTGGCAACAAACATTATTGTCTTTTCAAAATATTTTGGAATGCACTTTGTAAAAACCTGAAGAATACTGCCCTTCACCATGCAGGCCACAGCAGGCAGCAGATGTCCTGCCACTACCCAACAAATCATGGACACAGGGCATCAGCTATGTCCAGATGTCCTGTCATGTCCAGATGAAGTTGCTGGTTTCAGGCCAACAGCAAGCTATATAATCAATGATGTGGACAACAATATGCACAGTCGTTGCTTGTTGAAATTTGACAACAGGAAATGATAGTATGAATAGATTTGTCAAAAGCACTGGTGTGTTTCTAGCTGTTGATCGTTTGTTTATTCACACAGTTGATTCAAACTCTGCAGACAGGGCAACATTCCGTTTCCCTCTGATGCAGGTTGACTGCGGATTAATTGGTAGTCAATGCACAGTGCGCTGGCCGGATCAATAAGTCTCACCAGTATGGAACCAGTCAACCCGCAATTTCTGAGCGCAACCAAATCCAAGAATAGCTACACAGACAGTGCACTGAGCACAGCAAAGGAATCTAAACAGTGCAAGTGAGCACGTGCAAAACAGGAAATTGCAACAAGAGTGCCTTTAGAAATCTTGTGGGTGCTATTAAGGGCAAGATTATACCCAACTTGCTATCAATCGCATTGCTGCAGAAGACATGCGCATTTTGTCACTGGATGTTTGGTGCACATTTAGCTAGTCATTTTGCCTCAGGAGTGGATATCTGTGGAATGCATATAGTCTTGCAAAGAGAATGGTTATGAGTCTTGTTCCAGTTTGGTGCAGGGCACTGGAATGGCAGGCGTGCCTGGAATTGCAGCAAAGATATTCAATGCTATGAAGGATGCCGAAATCAATGTCAGCATGATTTCGCAGGCCAGCTCTGAACAATCCATTTGTTTTGCTGTCAGAGGTTTGGATGGGCCAAATGGTGTCCAAGTCCTGAGGGAGAAGTGAGTGTTGCCATGCAAACACTGTTCATAAACTTGCTGCACATATGCACATCAGAAAAAAAGGGTACAGAATATTGCTTTTATTCAACAAACATTGTCAGTAAAGATTTTGAGAGATGGCCCAACTGCCAATGGGTCATGAGTGTGTCTCTGGCAGTGCAGTGGCAGCTCCAACTGTTTGCCTAGTTCTCCCAGCAGTGTTGATTAGGCACAGTACTTTGTCTCATTTTTGAAAGGTGAATCAATTGAGTTCTACACCAGATTTTGCTGTATAGGCAAGTAGCAGTGCACGCGTACTGGTGTACACAGGGACAAACAATGGACATGTGTTCTTGGGGGCTGGGTGGCAACATAGCCCATATTGGCTGGCATGCCGTAAATGGAAATCTCAACTCAACCAGATTTTGCGGCAGACTGCTGACAGCCAGGACGCATGATGTGGCGAAAGATGTTTCTGCAGCTTGGTTGAACCCACTAGCCTCCAAAGAGTAAAAGCATCTACAGAAGGATGTGTTGGAGTCAGTGGTACGTTGCATCCAAGCCAGAGTAGAAGCTGTAACCATCCACTGCCTGGATGGTTACACCACTCAACCAGTGATTGTTTTCTGTCTTTGCAAGCACAGTACTCACCGTCTTCCATTGTAGCTTTCACTGTTGTGAAAGCTACAACAGTGTATGCCAGCACGTATGTGCATTGACCGCATCATGTAATTGGAAACGGGGCTTTCTTCTGGGCTTATTTCTTCAGGGCACTGCATCCCTTGTGGCCAATAGTTGATACAAGCACCCCTTGATACCAGAGAGCTGGCTCAACTGTGAGTCCAGGTCTCACAGAACTCAATTCTTTGGTGTGGACCTGTTGTTGCTGCTTGACCCTGAGCAGAGAACCTGAATTCGATTGAGTTAGTGAGCAAGCGAGTGAGGGAATGACCTGGCACAGAATTGTGTCAGGTCACAATGGCCATGTCGCGTATCGCAGCTGAACGTGATGAAACAGTCTTGGCCTCTAGTAGTATTAAATATGTGAACATGGCTCATCGGACATTGTTGGCACAGGTTTGCAGATGAGCTGCAAGCTGGCATCATCTCGTGTATCGATCGTATCGAGAATTGCTGCCTCCTGGCTGCTGTTGGGCGCCAGATGGTGAACCGCCGGGGAACAGCAGCAACTCTCATGACAGCACTCGCAAAGGCAAATATAAACATCATTGCCATTGCCCAGGGCTCCTCAGAGTACAACATAACAGTCCTCATTGACCAGGAGATGAGCGGCAAGGCCCTTCAGGCTGTCCACTCGCGCTTCTACATGTCTGCAGTGTCCATCGGTGTTGGACTCGTGGGACCTGGTCTTGTCGGAGGCACGCTCATGGACCAGATGAAAGAGCAGGTTGGTGATTTCTGCTTTTCTGTTGTTGATTCCAGTACCATTTCCATTTCAATTTGTGTTTCCTTTTATTTTGCTTTCCAATTTTTTAGCAGCTGTGTGTGAAAAAATGTTGTTGGTGTTCTGAATGCAGGTGCTACTGTAAATCAGCTGACTGGAAACTGGTACTTCTCCTTCATTTTTCAATATGCATCACGACATAAGACCTTGTGCTATGCAAAAAGCTGTGTAGGAAACACACTTTAGTATGGGCTTGCTTCTGAGCTGGGTTGGTATCTCTATTGTATACTTTGCATTGTGCAGTTTCGTGTTGTCTTTTTATGTTTTTGAAGCAAATTTTTTAGTGTTTTATTGTTTGCTGTTTCCATTCTGCAAGTACAGCACTGTGGACGAGCTACAGCTAGCAGTGCTGTTGGGCTCCAGCATCTTTCAGTTGGCCTTCAGTGCGAATTGCAGTATTGTGGATCAACATGCTGGCTGGCAGCATATTCTGCTAGGGACAGCAAAGAAAAACTGTTAGTGCTATTTTTGCAGAAAGAGTTGCTTTGTGAGAAATACAAGATCGACATTCGGGTGTTGGCACTGGCGAATTCCAGCAAGATGCTGCTCCATCCCACTGGAATCGACCTGGACAACTGGCAAACGGAATTTCAAAATAAGGTGAAAATTATACTTTCCTACCATCAAAAAAGCAAGTCATTACCATTGAAGAGCCTGTTCAAGAGCAAGAATTGTGTGAGCTCCACTTCATTTGTAGAGAAGATGATAAAGAAGTATCTGAGTGTAGCGACAGCAGCACAAACGCAGTATGTGATTGGCTATAAATGCCATAGGGGCGGCCAGAAAATAAAATGTATGCTGGTCAGTTTGGCTCTCTTGTGGGGCGACTTGTTTTGCCACTTTGACGACAACATTTTGGCAGACGATGTTGAAGTACCTCCTGCAATTAATGGCTGAATGTTCTAGTTAGCACGAACATTGACCCCAAAGATGCTGTGCTGGCATATTGGGGGGCAGACCGGCAACTTTTATGACATGATTGTGGATTGCCATTATGCCATTGCGAACCTCCAAGTATTGCAGAAGCAGAAAGCAGCAATGTTTTTGCTGCTTATACATGAAAGATATCTGCCCCAGGGTACTGTGCTATAAGCCCTTTCGGCAGCAAAGGCTGTGCACAGCATCCTGGTCCTGTGACCATCTTGCAGCTCTAGACTCGAATTTTTTACAAGTCCATGTCCAATCGGTTGTGCAGGCAGAGTCCTGCGATCTCAGCAGGCTTGCAGATCACTTGTCTGGCAATATTGTAGCCAACACTGTGATTTTGGACTGCACTGCTTCTGACACACCTCCTTGCCACTACCTGGAATGGATCAACAAAGGCATTCACATCATCACCCCCAACAAGAAGCTGGGGGCAGGGCCATTGGATCGGTATCTGGATGTAAGGCAGTCACAGCGCGAGAGCTACACTCACTGGTACTATGAGGTGAGGTTCACTCTCAGGTGCCTTGACATTGCTGTCTTCCTTGCATCTGTTATTACAACGATGTCGATCAATCTTGTCACAGGTGTTGTGGTATGGCAAGGCGGCCTGGTGGTGTCAACCTCTTTTCAATTACTTAAAGGCGATGTCTGGAACCATTTACAGCTGTGACATATGTGTCCATGGCGATTTTTAAACTGTTGTGTTCTGGGTATTTCTCAACGCAGCACACAAGAGGAATTCAGCAGTAGGTGCATGATCATTTCAAAATCCTAGTAAGTACGCGATTGGGTCATCGTCCACCAATGCCTTGTCTGGCTTGGTGACTCACAAGTAACTAATGGAGTAGTCCTTGTCCCATTATTGGCAGTGTCATTGTTCCAGATGCACTTGCCTGCCCACAGCGGGGCGTAATTCTACTAGCAATATATGCTAGTGACGGCATGGCCCTTTTTCTTTGATTTGTTTGAACGCTGGGATCTTTGTTTGTCCCTTGCCATTTCCTGAGGCAACTTTGAATTTTCCCCATATTCTTTGGTATTCATCTTTTTGGCCTATTCTGTCACAGGCGACAGTGGGTGCTGGCCTCCCAGTTGTTGCCACATTGAAGCATTTGCTGGAGACTGGCGACAAGATCTTGAAGATCGAGGGCATTTTCTCAGGAACACTGTCATACATTTTTAATGAGTACAAGGCTGGCATGCGGTTTTCAGACATTGTGAAAATCGCTAAGGAGAGTGGATTCACAGAACCAGACCCACGAGACGACCTGGCTGGAATGGACGTCGCAAGGAAGGTGGGTCAATGCCAAATCATGTTCAGTTGCATCAGATCACAATATTCTGAATTAGAGGACAAGAATGTGGAAGGAACCAAAATTTTGTTGCTGGCTGTAGTGAAGTCAGCCAACTTTATGTTGAGACTATTGCTTGCAGTTGGCAAGGAGTAACACAGCTGCTTCTTTGTTGCTCTTTCTGCCAGTCAGTGCATCACAGAGAACCGAACACTGCACAGCCACATGGCTGTCCCAATTCTTTATACCCAAATTCTGATGTAAATCAAAATTTCTACAAAGATGGGAACTGTCAAGATCTGTATGTTCAATGCTATCAATTAGCCTACCAACTAGCCAGCACCATCTCTCAATCAGCCACCCAAAAGCTGCAGAACCAGGGTAAAGGCCAAATGTTGCCACAATAGGACTGGCTCGTGACACAGCTCTCCACATCTTCATATCTTATGTTATCACTGATTGAAGCACTGCCCACAGTTGGGCTGAACACCCATTCACCGCATCATCTGGACGATATTCAAAGTTCTCATGTGTGATAGTGCAGAATCCTGCTCTGACTCTATTTGCCCAAATTGATGCAGAATCGCTTTTGTGTTAAGGTTAGCTGGATGAGTGGTGACTCAAACCATTACCTTGGGTGCTCACATGAAGCACGGACACCACACTCAACACCAGCCCAACAGTGCCCACACACAGCCTCACAGGGCGGCTCTCACGGGGAACTCGAGCTTACACATATGTTAGTCCGGCTCCAAGTTCGTGCACAAAGTCCCCACGTGGACAGCAGCAGGAAATGCGATCACTTTCTTCTCTCTCGCAACTACTGGCCTGCCTACTTGTATCCCCATGATCTTCGTGATAACAAACGCCAATACACCAGCCCAATCATGTGCCAACTTAGCACATTGCCAAGTACAAAACATGCCATAGACGTTCTTTCACTCAAACTAGCTTGTGGTATGCGCCACTAGAACACGAACTCTCCAGCACCACCCAGAACATAATGAGGGGGGAAAATATAGAGACAATCCTGACCATTCAACTCCAATACACAGCACACACCCACTGCATTTCTGAATACTCAGATCATTCACATGGTCGTTTACAGTGACAATGCTTGCAAACGAATGAAAAATGATGAAAGCACTAGAAAGCTGTGGGAAAACCCGTTCAAAACTTCACCGATTCTCTGTGGACAAGATGCCATTGAAGGCATTTCTTTCTGAATTGTATAGCTTTTTTCATAGAAACTTATTTTGTCCCATATAAACATGAGTGCCATTGAAAAGCCACCCTTGTGGCAAGTCAGGTCAATTGAAACCAGCATAGTATCAGAATACTTCATAACTATGTTCAATTATTTTCACGGTGGCGTTATGCTCGAGCCATCCCACGTAGGATCAATCGCTCTTGCAAATGCAGAGCAATCCCTATCTATGAAACATAATTGATCCACCGAGCGAAACAGTGGTCATTCTGTGGCTACGCAAACACCTTGCCCATTGCAAGGCGACGTTATGCACTATCAAGGACCTGGAGCAAGTTTGCAAATGATATTTCCATATTCTACATCGCAAAACCAAAGCTTGAGTTAAACTAGGCACAGGGCAGTATCAATGGGATGATGGCGTTGGACAATCTGCCACTTGGGAAGAGTCCCATCCATTCTTCCACATTGTGCAAGCGGGCAGTGTGGGTGCTCATGCCCCGAGATATTGAGCGAAATCTGGTTGCATGTTTCCGTGCCTATCAGCACCTACTGGGCGAGATTTTGTCATTATTTTTCAATTGCAATGCTCAGAACTGCTTATGACACGTACCACCGGTGCCTATACCCAGATTTTGCTGCCATCCATATCTTCAATATGTTGGACACTACCTGAAAGGTTGTCCTTGTGTTAGATATGCTGCTGTGCTTGATCTGGCCCGATTGGGAGTGCTGCGCAATTGCCTTGGCCGTGTTCCTGTTGCCTACTCCCCTGTTGCACATTCTCCTTGTGTCCACTCGAGTACCCACAGCGTCATTGGGTGGTCATGCAACCTGCACAAAAGCCGTCAGTGGGGTGCCTAGCTGAATTATGCACAACGTATGGAATTCTGCAACATTTGCATTGCGGGGCATGGGCACCACAGTGTGCGTGGAATCGATGAACATTCATTATAATAGATTCATATTGAAAGCATTCTAACCAATGGTAGAGCACCTGCATGACATGACAAAGAAAGACATCGGTGAATGGCAGCACGGCAAGAATCATGTTGTCCAAGAAATGCGAAGATGTAGAACAACGCCGAAGAGAATTGTCGCTCTCGCAGGTGACCATTCTAGCCAGGGAGTGCGGCATGCATATCGAACTGAATGAGGTGCCGGTGCAGAGCCTGGTGCCAGAGCCCCTCCAGAGCACCTCATCTGTGGCTGAATTCATGGAACGGCTGCCAGACTACGACGAAGACATGAGCAACAAGATGGAGGCCGCGGAGGCAGCCGGGGAGTGCTTGCGTTATGTGGGCACTGTCGATTGCGAAGGTACAGCGCATGGGCTCCTCAGCAGTCATGGATCGCCTCGGTTTCTGCTCGTATTGTACCTTCGTATTTATGTAGTTGACTATGTAGTGTAGCAGACTTTCTGCTTTTCTGGTATGACGTTTTTTGCCCATGATGTTACACTCAAAATGTGCTGCTGAAGAAACCGTGCTTGGCTCAATTTGTGTATAAGAAACCCATTTGCCAGAAAAGGTTCCATAGTTAGTCCATGGGATGACACACAATGTAAAGCTGGAGATCTCTGAAAGCATAATATTTGTTAGACCCGTCGTACACATCGACGCATCATTGAATATCTACGTGGTATTTATGTAGCACAGCACAATAACTCCAATGGGTGTGATTCTTCTAATGCAGCATTCTGAAATACATGCAGCGCCATGGATGAACATGTGTGAATATTCTGTTTCAAAGGCGGCGAAGGCAATGTAGAACTTCGGTCCATCTCAAAGACACATCCCTTCGCACAGCTGAGTGGCAGCGACAACATCATCGCCTTCACAACCTCCAGATATCGGAAGCAGCCACTGATGGTGAGGGGCCCAGGCGCTGGTGCGGAGGTGACAGCGGCAGGTGTCTTCAGTGACCTGCTGCGCCTCGCAGCCTCTCTTGGGGCGCCGAGCTGAGGGCTAAGCCCCCCAGATGTAACCGATGAGCAGATCTGTTGCACATCCCCCAGGGGCGACGCTGCAGTGGCAATGGAGCACATCGCGGCAATGATCACAAGTGAAGACCACAATGCAAAATGCAGCCCAACGTTCGGGTTGTGATGGGTAGGATTCAAGGGCCACGATTTATGTTTATGGAAATTTTGGGCTGTACCGGATGGCAGTGGTTGCAACAGTGTACCGCACGAGCTCTTGAACTTCAATGCGTGGGTAAGTGGAGAATGAGAGGCTGAATTGGCTTCATACTGTGGTGACTGTGCCCTTGGACGTGCACAAGGCGCTGTGAGCTGCACGGGCGTCAAGAAATATGACAAGCGACTGCGACGCACTGTGTAAGACAGCAGACAGACTGCATTGGCATATACATATGTACCACGTGTTACAATGATGAACCTCAGTACCCTGCCTTCTCCTCATCGCCATCATATGAAGGCACCGAGGAGTTAGCGATTGTTTGGGGTCGTTTCTTGTTGATAACTTCCATTGCTCTCATGAGTTGCAGTGCATTGTGAGGGGACAGGGGCGGCAATTTGGAAGGAAGTATAGTCCCAGCATGATGCGGACAACACCGAGGAGGCAGGAAACGGGTCGGTTACACAGAGTACGAGGATCAGCCACATCTGTACACGCGCCACCGGCAGCACGATCCCCAGCGCAATGCACGCTTAACTCATCACGACGTGTTGTTAAGAGTGGTTGCCTGCGTTGGTTTGGTCTGCACTGAGGATACGGCTCGATTCCAAACAAAATCAATGAGGAAAAGGACCAGAGTCTAGTACAGAATCTGGGGTGTCAACAAGAACCGTGTAGAGGTTGTGGCCAATGTCCACGGGACAACTCCATCTATGAAATAACATCTATGCGGTAGACTTTCCAATGGCAGGAAGGTCTTACATACCATATAGAGCTTAGATTGAGAAACAAACGGCCAAATGATGAAAACCAGAATTTTGGAAACATGATTTAGCATACTGGAAGAAACAATGAGCAAAAAGGACAGTAGTATTGATATCAAGATTCTTTCAAGGTGGTAGTAAGTGATCCAACAAATGTCATGTTCTGCTCTTTACAAGAATTCTTTAATTTTGTGGTGAAGTTTGAAACTGACCAGTGCAACAATGAATGGATATGGACTCGAGATAGTCAATTCAAAAAAGAATTCGCCCTCCAGCAATGCCTCAGGGACTTGCACAGGGTCCCAGAACCCTCAAACATGTGGCCGTTTCTTTCTTGCTCGAACTCCGAGCTACAAATCAAACCACACACTTGACAACATTGCCGTCAATGGCGTCCTCGAACTGCACGCCCCACAAGCACGCAGACTAGCAAGCTGGCGACCTGCCATAACCGACTGTGACAGGTTGCCCAAACTGCATTCCACAGGGTCTGTGAACGCAGAATGAGACACGAGAAGCTGAATCCACTACGTTGTGGAGCAGCTCGCTGCAGATGCATTTGGCACGATGGAATGGCACCAGAGAAGTCCCCACAACGGCATCTTTCCGCCACACACTGCCCACACATTTCGTCGAACAGGGCTATCGACCTATGGAGCGAATCGCCACCTGGGATTGATTGCGCTGTCCTATTCCAGTCCTTTTATGTGTTTCCACAGACCTTCTACTTGCTACTTCGCTCCCACCCTGGTGAGACCCCTATTCCAATTAAATTCTGTTACGCTTCCAGTCCAACACACTACCTTTGGGTTTGAACCACATCTCACAGGACCAAGAACTGTTTGGCGCCAGAGCTAGAGGGCACGCTGTCTGGGCATGGAGCATGTCGCACAAGCCCAGCTGTCCATCTGGTACGACGTCACCATTTCGCTGAATAAGAATGGTGCTTATTTTGTCTGTTTTCACTTTTCTCTACCTCGTCATAAACGTGCTGCTGTGCATATACATGCAGTGTTCTGAACACTCCCATGGCATCAGAGGGATTCCATGACCCAACTACCCAGCAGCAGCTCAGGCGAGTCCCTGCCATGGTGGCCAACAAGGCCAGCCAGGCGCCTAGACCTCTCCGCAATATCTCTCTCCACAACCGACTCCATCTCACTGTGTATCACATACACCTGTGCAGATGTCAACCTCCCTAATTTGTTGAATGCCACATTCAGCAACTCGTTCACACCAAACACACGTCGAAGCCTGTACGTAATAATCTGGGAGAGCTGCTGCACGTCAGTCGTCATCAAAATAGTGGACTCACATTTCTGCAAAGAGACATAAAGAACAGTGAGTGTGCCACCTTCATGTGGATCTTTGTGGGCAGAGGCAGGCAACATGACGAAACTGCTGCACTGCCTTGTGTATGTGTGGTGTGGGGGAACTGGTACATGGAGAGTTGTGGGGTTGGGTACAGTTCTATGTTTGTGCAACAAAAGTTTCCAGCCGATAAAACTAAGGCAGGCTACTTGGTCAGGCTACTTCGTCACAAAGCCTTGCTTTCTCTGCTCCAAAAGTGAGCATGTTGAACTGCTACCAGCCATGCGCTTCAGCACAGTCAAATTGTTTCAGCAACAGGTCAATTTCCTGCAAATGGACTGCTCTTGTGGAGGCCACAGGTATGTTGGCAACTTTCGCCCGCAATCCCACCTTCAAAAGCGCAAGTGCCACTCTCAGGAGCACCTTGGGCCCTTCGCATATCAGAGAGTCCCACACGCGTACAACAGTCTGCAAGACACACAATCCTAAACACTGAGTGCTGCTTGGTGGTCCTTTTTATAGAAATCGAAACGAACTACAGCATACATTCCTCCTGCACGATCATTTGTTTGAGAGGCCTTCGACTACCAGTGCCAAGCGCCTTCGCCATCAAACACGATGGCTGCAACTGCAAGTGAGCGTTACCCCATCCACCAAAAAGTCACATGGTCATCGCCTGCAAGGCAAAAGGACTGTCATTGCTGTCCTATAGTCCATGGAATATGAATGGTCAAGTCTTTGCACACTCTGGATCCCAACATCATATTTCATAAATTGGCTTTCAAACATTTGATTTTGTAGGAAAAACAGTGTCCTTGCACCAAGGTTTGTGCGCTACCTATCATATCCGGATACAAAGGTCATGAAGTCACAAAGGTCGTGAAGGGTAAGAGGCCCTACAAACCTAAAAGCACCTAACCTCCTGAAGCCCCAAACAATATTCATGACCTTCGTAACCTTCATCTCCAGAAATGACAGGCACTAGACATTGCGCTTGCACCTGGAAAGAACTTGGCACCAGAACTTTCACAATTGTGAGCGCCAATGTCTGCACATAGGGGCAACAGACTCTGTCTTTCAAAGAAGCAGAATCTGTATGTGTCTTAGTTATATAATTTGGCAGTGCTACGCTGGGGCCTCACCTCCGCTGGAAGCGCCAGGACGAACAGGGATGAAAACCAGGTGTTGGTAACCGCGGACACAGTGCACCCGAGCTTCATGCATTGCTTGTGGACGCTGGGCACCCGCTCTCGTAGCAGTGCGCCCACCACTTTCTCCTGGACTTTGCACCAAAACAGCATCTGCAAGGCAGCAACTACACCAATAAGTTTTAGATTAGCGAGAGGTCCACCTTGTGACGACGCTGCGGATGTTGGGAACA